TATCTTTTGTTGACTTTATCCACAAGTGTATTGCTAATAAGCAAACAGCTGTAGCTGCTCAGCTAATTTGGTTGGACTTGACATTGATCTTAATGTTATTTTAAAAACAAGATATTCTCTCACACTTACCATTCTTCTTCATGTTTTACATAACTGTCTGTCAGTCGACTGATATAAAAGCATGACAGAGATTGGTATAACATATTGATGATATTATTATATCAAAAAAATGAAGAGAGAGAGAGAGAGAGGAATAGTATATTTTGTTATTCTTTGTGCAATTCATTATTTGAGAAAATGTTATTATTGAAAATCGTGTTATTATTACGATTATGAACAACAAAACAAACATATAGACCTATACGTGATTACATCCTTACATCCTCAATAAATAGAGAGAAAGAGAGAAGGAGGACAAATATTTTCATGAGATTTACGCATATAATACTCTAAAAAATAAATTATACAATGGAATCTGTTAAGATTATAATTTTGAATGAAATTTTTACTCAACAAAAGTACATATATCAGAGAAACTCGAAATTTGCTAATTAAGAATTAGTAGAAGTTATTCGACTTATCACAATGATAATAAATTTTGAATGATCAAACTTTTTTCTACACATGCTGATTTTGCACAAAGTGGCATGTTTTAGTGGACCGTTTTGTGAAATTACACGACTAGATTCGAAGTGTTCTCTGCACGCAATATGTTAATGATTGATCAAATGGGTAATGTAATGTATCTTTTTACATGTTTTAGATATTTACTTTTCTTCTTCCTGTTCTGTTAACAGCTTATTACCATGATGATGATGAATACGTAATCCTAATGATTAGCATCATTTTTACCTTGAATCCAAGGATAATTTCATTCTGTCTGGATTGTCACATTTTCTTCTTTCAATTAGAACAAATGATCAAAAGATGATGATGATGGTAAATGTGTACGATTGTTTTATCAATAAGTAATTAACTCATCATGAGCGGACATGATAAATCGAATAGTAATTGGTCGATTACCAACGTGATGTAATTTCAAATTTACTTTAATGGAATTTATATATACATATACTAATGCAGAGGTTAAATGTCATATTCTTGTTCTTCAGAAAATTGAAAGATGTGTATCGCTGTTTCACGAAGCTATTCACATAGACTTTTTTGAGGAATAAGACAAAGAGACTTTCAAGCATGATAAACAGCACAAATGCTGTTTTAGAAAAAAATATTTTTCAATGTTCCTAAGGTTTGTTTGTACGTACATACAAGCATAAAATGGTTTCGGTTTAATCTGTTCATACTGATAATGAAAAAGTCATAACTCAACATCCGACAGTGCTTGATAACCTCATATGTAACTCGACAACTTTCCTAAATGATCCGGCCCGATTTGGCTAATATTTTGCTGATCGATAGGGCTTATCGGTCTAGCAAAATCCTAAAAGGTTTCGTCCCCATGTGGCTTTCTTTCCGAGTTATGATCGATTTTGTGAATGTCGAGTTTGGGGTGTTTTTACTATAACTAACTATCCCAACATGCTGGAGAACTGACACTCGTAGTAATGATAGTCCTAGTATAATCCCTATGCTGCTAAATCAGGAGGATTCAAGGTGAAAGGATATAAGAGATAGCCAAGAGCAGTGTGGTTTGCTGTAGCAGCGATGATCGGATCACAGTTAAAAAAGAAAACCTTCGCTAAAGAGCTTAAGCCCCAATACATTGGTACATTCTTTACTGGATCAGAATTAAAATCGTCACTTATGAGAGGAGACTGATAAGATAAGGACAGGTGAGAAGAATAAACAATAATTCGAGGTGAGAAAAATGAATGACATCTTGAGGTTCAGAAGGGCGATAGGAATTACACAAAAAGTAGAACTGACTATTTACAAAAAGTGAAATAAGAACGATTTGGTGAATAGAAAGTATCAGAATCAATGGAAGAATGCTTTAAAGAATTTGACACATAAATCAGTACATCTCCTCCTCTTCTATCTCAATCTCATCTGTAACAAGAATATTAATCCACGTGACTTTCTGAGTCGAAAATAACCGAGTTTTTTGGAAACAAACAAAATAGGGCTTCACTGAAAGAATGATATGATGGAGCATGATGCCAATATGAGCAAGAACGCTTTGAATATTTGTGATTGATATTCTCAATTTGCCGCGGTTGCTGGAATCCGAGATTTTAGGGCTCTAGACGCAAGCAAAAGAGTCAAGATCAGAATGAATTAACTAGGTGATTTTCACATCAGATAGAGCAAATAGATAAGCCATACTAACGTCCACAGAGTCATCAGAAGCACAATGAATGAATGAATGAATGAATTATTATTCACGAAAAGTGAGGTGGAGTAGTAGAACAGACAGGCAGTGTAGAAAAAGAAAAAGGAGGCATACTACATAAGGAAGGCAAAAAAGCAACAACAACATTGTTCATACTGTTCATCGAGCAAGACGAATAATCCATACTACTAAAATTCAAAAAGACAAGCATCAGCTTCAGTACGCCAAATCCATTCACGAGAGCGTATTTAGAACTTATCTTTTGACTAAATATAAAATATGTATTTTACACTAAACAGAAATATTATATCGCGACTGCTGAAGGCCGAAAACTTTTTGAGTTACCGCCGATGATCAGTAATTGGCTAACAGCTCTACTGCCGATGGTCATGATGGTTGTAGGAGGGTGTTTCACAGAAATTCTTAAGTCATCAACTTAAGTCTGGTCCATGTCTTATCTAAGTTTGAGACAAATTTAAGTTGACGAACTTAAAGTGTTGCACAACTTCAAACTTAAGTCTGACTTCAAGTTAAGTGCACAACTTAGTCGCACGGTCTAAAGTTATGTCCACGTACTTACCTGGTGCATAGATGCATTGCAATCTACCGCACTTTTTCCAAAACGAATAGAGTTCATGATAAGTGGGATATGGCATGAGCGAATGAAAATATATGGGAAAAAGAGAAAAAAGGGGTTAAAAAAACAAACAAATCGCAATGACTCATTTGTAATATCAATCACATATCCATAGATAAACCGTATCTGAATAACCTGTGACCAAACAGGGGCGTCTGACAACAAGCTGTTAATATGATAAATTTCTAAGTCATAAGCACAAATTTCTTCCACTTTTGCATCCTCGGGTGCCCGATCCAGAACGGATTCCACTTTTCGTGAATAAAACAGTCTTAATCTTAGTCTTAGTCTCTTAGATTTTGGAAAAAGAACGCTCAATAGTCATGAACCATTTCGCGTTTTTAGAAGTTCTCTACATCACTGCATGCTCATTTTTCAAAAAATGTGATTAAACAAAAAAAAGAAAGAAAAAACTCTGAGCAATCGGATAATGTCTGTCGACATAAAAACATGTGTTTTGCTATTGTAGCTGTTCAGAAGCCTATAGTTTCTCCAGAATTTAATTTTCTCTTGACTAGATGTTTTTTCGTACTCGAACAACATTCATTAAATAACTTTTCTCTGATGGGGAGTCGTTTCGTTGAAAAAAATCCTTTTTAACAGAGTGGTGTGTTGGTTTAAGGATCCTCTCTATACATTTTTTTTCTAACGAATTTGAATGAAATTTTTAAGAACTAAAGTTCATAATGTGAATAGGTTAAGATAAAAATGTTTGGCTATCATCTACGAATATTTCGGGTTGAAAGCCAAAAATTGTTAACTGTTGTAACCCAAACATCTACAGTTTTCTCTGGAACAAAGTCGAAATTGAAAAGCCTGTTTTTCTTACATTGTGCAATTTTGTCTAGGCTTTCATGAACACAAAAAGATACGTAAAATTTAGAACAAATTTGAATTTCTGACAGCTCATGAAAGGAGAAGGAAGGTAGGTCATATATATTATATTTTGAGAGTACACAAAGAACTCTTTTAGTGGAGTGTGTTTAAGCAAATTTGAGTGCTTGAAAAATGATACTTAGTGTAACGTCACCTTTTTCACACATTTTGTAGTAGAAGGGTAGAATTAATACCGAAAATGCTTTATAATGATGAAATGTAACTAATAGCTAATCAAGATTTTAGGTATAAAGCCTCTTGTTGTTAAAAGTGTCTTAATTTTTTCGTAGTTGTAGACACATGCTAGACACAATAAGACATTTTTGTGTTGAAGGCACTTGTAAGACATATTAATGAAAACGATAACGCGTCATCAATAAATCATCTGTCATAGATAAAAACCTAGTTTCCACAGGGTTTTTATCTATCAAAAAAATTTCTTTCACGGCGGGACGCCCTTCTCAACAACCACTGATTAACTAGCTCCATTATTTCGTTTATTTATTTCGCAAAATACAAGTGTCAATAAAAAACAGTTTAAAAAGGTTGTTTGTTTACACTAATACTTCAATTTTTATATCATTTTATAACCGCAGCAAGTTTATGACTTAAGAATTTTTGTGAAACACTCAAACTTTAGTCTAGTTTAACTTAAGACAAAACGGAGACTTAAGTCTAAGTCAAGCACTTAAGAATTTCTATGGAACACCCTCCAGATCAAAATATAAACAAACTAAAAATGACAACGGCAAAGTCGTTTTCAGTAGTTGTAGATCGGTGTCATTTTTATTTGACTCATCTGGGCCACTAATCTATGACATGGTTTGTTAGTACCATCTAATTTTCTCTGTGGTTCATGGTAGCTCTCGATCATAGTCTGTTTTCCTGAAAGATTCTGAGAAATTGAGTTCGAAAACAGAGCAGCTCAAGTGTTAAAAATTATATAAGAAGACTTCGTTTCTAAAGTGTGTTAGTAATTAGAACTGAGATCGTTCAATATGAAGGCTCAAAAAGTTCGCCATGTTTTGCTTTCCTCGAATTAGTATCCTGCTGAGATAAAAGTGGATTTCGAGGGGAAAAGGCTTTGTTTGTTTTATTTATTTATTTATTTTGGTTTGTTTGTATGCTTTTTGTTTATTTTTTCATCCTCTCGTATGCCTCAGCTTGCGTTCTATACTGTTTAGATTTTTTTGCATGTCATACACCATCGTTAGGTCTAATAAGGTTTCTTCTTCTAACTCAAACAGTAGAACCTCAACCCGTTAGGATACACTAGTCACAAAACGCTAGTATTAACGTGAAACCACGTTGTTCTCAACGCTTTATTCCTAGCGTATCCGAATCAGCTCAACTGATGTTAGTCTATTACTATGATTAACTCGTTTCCCATTCAAGAGATATTTATGTCATCACTTAGTTATCGATGTGATCTTTTTTCTAGATTATGCCGTTAACACTTGAAGATCTTCCAAATGAATTATATGTCTTTTTATTTAACTATTTGAAATCTTCTGACATTTTTCGATTATTTTCTGGTTTGAATTATCGATTCAATCAACTTATCCGTCGCTACTTACGCCATATAGATTTATCTCGATTGTCAGATATACAACTGACGAATTATTTACCTTTGCTAGATGCCGAATCTGTTCACGCATTAAAACTCAATGATAATTATATTGAGCATATATTTCTATATCGAAATTTGAATCATGTTACACTCGTCAATATTATTAACGAAAAATCAAAATGGTCACAATTTGTGGCAGTTTTAAAACAATTTGACTATTTGAAAATGATATTTGTCTGGGACTTATGCGATGATACGGATGAAAAGTGTTCATCAATCATTTGTTCAAATTTATTTCATCATAGTTGCTCTTTAAAAGAATTACATTTAGAACATATTTATTTGACAATTAATGAAAATCGCATTCAACCGTGTTTATTACTAAAACGATTATTAATCGGTGTTCGATCAGATAAGGATTTGCATATATTAATGAATAATTTACCTTTGATTGAATATCTCAAAGTCAACTTAGGTAAGAATAAAATCGTAAAAAGTTTAATACTGATAAGTTAATAATAAGTTTAGATAATGATAGTAGTAGAACCATCGTTTCTAAAAACATTTTACGTTGAAATAGTTTAACCTTTCTAACGAGGGAAGGCCCCTAACTGTCCCACCGATTTTGGACTAAATCTTAGTGGACTATAGATAATCAAGGGTGCTGATTTCGAATATCACAATGATTTTTGTGTACGGACTTCCAGAGATCCCGCTTTTTGGAAAAGCTTTTTTTCAAAAATCGGGGTCTCTGGAGGTCCGTACGCAAAAATCATTGTGATATTCGAAATCAGCACCCTTGATTACCTATAGTCCACTAAGATTTAGTCCAAAATCGGTGGAACAGTTGGGGGCCTTCCCTCGTAAGTTAAAAGTAGAGTTTGAAAATTGATTTTTTTATTGTTTTAGAATATGGGATACATCATCAAGCACATCACATATCAAGTATTCGTCGTATAATGACAAAATTAAAAACTTTTCATATTGAATCGTTAGAATACTGTGTACGCTCTGATAGTTTAAAATTGATATTAGACAGATGTCCATTTGTTGAACAATTATTTTTGAACATTATGCTAGGAGATAGACATATTAATTGTAGACAAATACAAGATGAACTACTATCTCTACTCGTTAATTTAAAAGAATTCCATTTTTATATTTCTTTTGTAGCATTAATCGATCAACATAATCTTGAAACATATTTTTCTAGTTTTAATCGTCCAATATTTGCATATAAACAACATTGTTTATTTTCACTTCCCTATGCATTTGAACAATTGGATTTAGTGGAAAATAGTATTGTTAATTGTCGAACAACTGCTAATGACTTATGTCTCTATTCGAGACAACATCATTTAAAAAAAATTGTACTCGGTGGTAAAACAGCTTATTCATTAAAATTATTTGCATTTATTCGAGATATGTTTCCAAATGTTCAAATATTAGAATTTACTCGATACTGTTATTTAGAAATTGATTTATTAAATGATACAAATCTTGTATTCAATTGTCTACACACTTTAGTATTACCGTGTGTTTATCAAACTACTTTTGCTGATGTGAAACGTTTATTATTATTGACACCAAATTTAGACACAATCAATATCTACTATGATCTATTGTTGAGAATAAAATCTCAATTGGAAGATGATGTGGAGTTATATCCATTGTGTCAACAACTTCGACAGTTAATTGTTTTTAGTGGTTTTGTGGACAAACCGTTTCTTCATCAACAAATTCAATCCCTATTTCCAAAAGCATCAGTTTCTTATACCTAGTTTATAATACTATGTTCTTTTCTAACTTATTCTTAGCGCTAAATTTTTTTAGAATAAATAGGAGTTGTACGAACAGGACGTTTTATGAGACAATTCTGACTTTGAATTCGATGTAAATATATTTTTACTAGTATAATCTCACTAAACGATACATAAATAGGAAGATGTACAGATCGTTTAAAAGATCTTTAAGTGTTAGCGGCATAATCTAGAGAAAAGATCATATCGATGACTAAGTACCGAGATAAACATCTCTTAAGTGAATATAAATTCAGATATGTTGAATATGCTTTTAGCGCTCTATAATGTGTACTAAAGTTCTTTTCACTACGTAAAGGATGAGCATCGTTCTTTCTACGATTTTTTGTTGAAACTTTATACGTGGTTAGAATCAGCATTAACATCTGATGAAAACTATTGATTCAAATTCTTGTAGAAATCGATAAAAAAAAATTGTCTTTGGTCTGTCTTAAGAAAAATGAAAAAATCTTTTTTGAATGAAGTCGTAAAATGTATCATCGATAAAGGAGATCGATTGTGCTAATCGTGAATATGAAAGTTAAAAGCTTTAGAAATAGATGAGTCATGAGTGCTCATGCCAGTTTTGACCATGTGGTGGTCTAATTACTTTGTTCATATGTTTGAAACTGTATTTTTGCACGTAACAATTTGTACTCTGTTCAGTTTAAACAGGATCAGATCTTAAAAAATTGATTTTATAGCTCATTTTTGAGTTATAAAAAAGGTGATAAACTGCGCAAAATTCTTTCTTATCTGTCTTACTATATTTTAACGAGTACCTTAAGTCATCTGTCTATAGATGCCGTATATAAAAAACTATATTTGATCTCTGTTCGAAAAAGTGGATAATAGCTTTTCCATTTGAAAGGTGTTGAATCCACATATTCAAGTTAATTTTTAAGTCTATATAAAAAGGATGATTGGTCTTAGTCGTTGTTTTCGATTAAAGGAATATTGATGTGATTGTTTCTTTTCAATAATGAACTATGTTTATAGAAAAATTAATTATTTTTAACTTTTTGGTTTAAATCCATCAATTCTTACATGAAAAACTTTTACTCCCAAAAGAATAAACATGAAAACTAATCCAAATATTTCGGACAAACACATATATAAATGATTATTTAATGAAAATGAGTCATCGGTGTGATTAAGACTTTCTCAAGCATTACACCAGTCAAATAAAATTTTTATTCATAAAAAACAAATCTTTTTTCTCCGGAGGATACTCCAGATAAAAATTGATCCAGTGCTGGATACGTCGCTAGAATCAGCACTTACTAAATCACTTTGCAAAGAAAGCAATCAACAAACAGAAAAAGTAGACGTCTGTGATTTTTATCTTCCTTATGATTTTATATTCAAAAAATAGTCAAAGTACAAAGAATGAAAAAACATCTGACACATACATATGAAAGATAAGTGGTTCACTTATTTTGGTAGTCGTTCATCAATTCTCAGTAATGTTTGACGATCATTTTGTACAATTTCGACAATATTTTTAATTCCACGATGTATTTCATGTAAAATATCTTTTATTGTCTCTAATTTTTCATTGTCAAGAGTTGACGTAGCCAGTGAAGTCCAATTAATTGTTTTCAATATTTGTGGATTCATACGTATTTGCATTAGCAAATCTTTAATTCGTATATCTAACATTTTTGATGGATTCAGAGAAGAATATGAGATTAAAGGAGATATCGACGTCCATAGCTGAATTTCATTTGATGTTAATTTTGATTCATGTTGACGTCGACGAATTTCAAATTGAATTATGGCCTATAAAAAGAGATATATCATAAATATTTTTTTAAATGAAAAGATAATGTGGTAACTATTTTTACTTTTAATATTCTATGTGAATATTCTAATAGATTTGTCTGATAACGTTTCATTGTTAAACGAAATGTCTCACATTGATCTTTTACAGATCGAATTTGTTGACGAATGTTGATTAATTCTTGTTTTTGTCCATCATATTCAATAAATTGTTGTTTCATACGATCACGAAGCGCTAAAATAATCAGAATGTATATATCGATGAACAAAAAGTCAAGTAAACATACCTTTCACACCCACAAGTGCTACGGGCAATAATAACTGTGGTTTGGGATTTTCGTTTTTAGCTTGTTCCCATATAAATCCTGTTAGGCCTAAATGATTAGATAAATAACAATTGAGAGATAAAAGTCATTACGATGGAACATTGAAAGTGATTCGATACTATATTATTCTTCAATTTATGAAATATTATACTTTTCAGCAAGAATGCTCATAACAAAGCACGTACCTGCTGGTGTTACATCTAAATACTGTTTATACTCTTCATCTGTTAAATCGGTTCGAGCAAATATTTGAACAATGCCCAGTGATTCTAAATGTTGTCTGGTATTATTTGTTGATAATGTGGAAAGTGATTGAGTTTGTTGAGGAGGATTTAGATGGTTAACAACATCACTTGCTTTAGCTTTTTTTGTCGATAATGAGCCGGGTTGTTTTTCACTAACAACAATTAACATCTAATAAATACAAAAAAGTAAGAATGTAAACAGGAAAAAACGAGAAAGACTTTTCGTTAAAGTTACCTGAGTTTTGTCATCGGCCAATGGCGACAGACCTTCAAGTTCAATAAGGCAATTTGGGTTATTATTGAATAAACGATGTAAATTTTCAATAATTTTATCTTTGACTTTAATAACATCAGCTATTTTCTGGTTAAGGATTAATGCAACAAGGCCATCTTCATCGCGAGTACGAGGACGAACACTATAAGAGTATGTCTAAAAGTAAAAGTATCATTACGAAAAGCGTCTTTCTTTTGACACTCGAAAACAACTGAAGCTAACCATAACCATGTGGCAAGAAAATCAGTATAAAAATAAAGAAAACTGAAGTAAAACACATGTTGCACATGTTGCTTACTTTGAATGCGTGATATGCTGATTTATCGTCAACTTCGTAAATTCCTTGATGACAAAATGTCTTTCCTGTACCATAAAATACTTGTAATATATTCCATTTTAAGATTAAATCGTCCCGTTCATCATTGAACAACCGTGGCGTGGTTAAAGATGTTATCAACACATCGTCTCGATTATAAACCTGTTGTTGTTGTGGTTGTTGAATTTGACCTGAAAACTGTGGCTGTGATTGAAGAGATGGAAAGCCAGCAAACGGTTGAGTGGCTGGTTGTTGGGGTTGCGCTAAAATAGAGCGACAAATTGCAGAATGTAACAGATGCAGTATTTTGTGGAATCTGAATTATAACCATAGATCATTTTTTCGGTATGTTACCAAAAACTTTTAATTAATAAAATAAATGCTGTGATAAGTAACTTTTTTAGATTCAGTTAATCCTTTACTCTCGGATGTTCACATTCATGAGCATTAATGAACATCGAAGAATCGCTATAATAAGGTGGCGATGTGTCCTATCGAAAAACGGATTTTTCCAAGCGTTAGTTGACATCGTAAGGTAACATTAAAATAAAAATTTTGTTTTATCAAGCCTAAATAACGGTTTCAGAATTTGTAGTTCGGTTTTCATAGTCAGTTGCCGGGCGAAAAGCGTTAATCATCGGATATTAGTAGCTACAAGTAACAGTAACCGTGAGACATACAAACAGAATTTAACACATTTTTAAATACGCTTAAACGATTCAGGAACTTTAAAGAAAAGTGCGTTTTCACCTGTGCAACAAGGTTCGAATAACACTTGATGAACTTTACATCACTCTGAATTCAAAAAAAATTAATAGGAAATATTTCATATTTTTCTATATACTTACTGCCACCAAATGGAAATGCTGCCGGTGCAGGATTAATGGTGGATCCTAAGCCTCCAAACATTGGTGGATTTGTTGTGGTTGCTCCTGTACCAAAACCGGAAAAGGTAGGTGCTGATTGCGCTGTGGGAGCAGTGGTATTTAATCCAAAGATATTTGTTGGCGGCCCAAATGTTGTTGTTGCGGTTGTTGCACCAAACAGAGGTTTCGCTGCCGTCGTTCCTGAGCCAAAACTAAATGCTGAAGCAGAAGTGGTTACTGCTGGATTTGCTGCAGCAAAATTAAATGCAGCAGATGTTTGAGGAGGATTCATGGTGGTGCCGAAACCACCAAATGCGGGAGCGGTGGAGCTTGTTGTTGGTCCAAATGTAAATGAACTAGTGGTTGTTGTGGCAGGTGTTGTACCAAACAAAGGCTTAGGAAAACTGAAATTTGCCATGCTACTGTGTTTATTGAGTTGTTATTGATGGTCTACAAGGTAGAGAACAAAGAATAGTAAAGAGTTAGAAAACACTTGACTTACAATGAATTAGTTTTCGAGGCAGCTCTGTACGAAAAACGAAGCTCAGATAAGAAAGTTCAAACGTTAAAGCAATGTCGATCATGTCTTTTCTGAAATGTTCAGGCTAAGCAATAATATCAGACAAACTGAAGTAGAGTACACAAGATCACAGAAGCTTAAGCTGTTTGAAGAACAAGGATTTTCTGTAAGGCAATTACCTTTAGATTTGCTATGACTTTCTATATACACGACAATCTTGTCTTACAGAAAATTTTCTAATGAATCGATACTTAGATCACAACAGAATTAAATATCTCTAAGACTTCGGCATTATTTTCTTCTTCAATAGATAAAATATACTAAATAAAAGAAATAAGACTAATGAAAATTAAAAGATAATGTTACATTTACATGTGCATCTCATTTCAGTTTAGTTTCTTGCACATCTTAATGTTTCATCTTTAAAATTTTTTGTACAACAATCAAATCTGCAATAAAGCAAATTGTGATGAGATGAGATAGATATGTCAACCACAGTTTCAAAAGATAATCTGAATTAGAGCATATTTGTGCATATTGTTTTGCAAATCAAAATGTACAAGAAATTGCATTGTAGATAACGTAGGTAGAACAAGATCTTCTTTTCAGATCTGAAAGATATAAAGAACAAAGAACAATAAATCACAGATTTTATTAACAGCTTTAAGGAATGTAAAATTAATTATTCAATCATTTACACATCTATTGTTTCCACTGAGTTTTTTTCATCATTATCATCCGTATTACATTATCAACGAAATCGCTACTAAAACCATCGATCAATGGACCGAATTTGATTCAGTAATTGTTTCATAACTATCTTGATTAATAGGGCTAAGACTAATTTATTCACGAACAGTAATTGTCATCAAAAGTCATCGCTCTATAATAACAATGACTGAAGCCAAATAACAACAAAAAGAAATCGTAAACAGAGAAATTAAAATAAAACAGAAAACTAGTGTATGAAGAGAGATAAAAAAGAATAAAAACAAATAAACAAAATAACACGAGAGTAGCAGCACTGGACTTGTTTTATAACTGTAGACATGACTAAGTTCTATTGTGAAATATGCTGAGATAGAGCTACTTTGAATGACGATAAAGAATATGAAGAAATGACTGCTTCCGGAAGTTTATTTCAGTCAGTTGAATAAAAGAAGGAAGAAGAAACGGTTTATGGAGAAAAAAACATTGACAATAGATGGAATACTAACGTATTTGGAACGATGACAACGTAACGAAGAATAATGAGGACGATCAACAGTATAGAAAATGGAAAGGGGACTAAGCTGATGATAAATTTTTATTAAAAACGGTAGTCAAAATTGTGAGAAATAATACGTGAAGCAAGTTTGTTTACAGAGTCTAGAACAGAAAGAAAAAGCGAACATATTATATAAGGCACAACAATAATCAATTTTAGAAATAGAAGAGATACAAATTCGACGCCGAACCTCTGGAGTTAATCGAAAGACACGACTTAGTGCCTCCAGCTTGCATCGGCAAGCAAGAGCAATGCCCCTAACATGGTCATTCTACCTCAGGTTGTGCGAAACAAGAGCACCAAGACAGCGAACAGAAGAAACAATCGAAAGAGAAACATTATTTAGATACCGTTGATTGTAAACAAACTGAAAAAGGTCAAAAGAAAAAGGAAGCAAGAACATTTAGACACATTTAGAGACAGCAGATTACAGGAAGATCAATCTGGAACAAAATTTATACAATTTTGAACATAAAGAGAAATCGAGGAAATCAGAAGAGCTACAATTAAAAAGACAGATTTCGCAATTTTTGGAAGAGAAGAAGCAACTCATTAATCAAAATATGAACCAAAAGCGGCCCAAGTACACTGACCTGTGGAATGCCAGAAGAAACAAGAGTAGCAGAAGAGATAGAATCATTCGCACGCACACACTGTAGACGATTGGAGAGGTAAGAAGACAAAAGAGACCACTCACACCACAACGGGACAATTTATCCAACAAAAAAGACTGTGATACAGAATCAAAAGCTTCAGAAAAATCAAAAGACACCAACACATTTCACACCAGCATTCCAAAAGTTAGAGATAGTATGAGGGAGAAACAACAAAGCATCGAGAGTAGAATGTTTAGGGCGAAAATCAAATTGTCTATTTACAAAACAAGAATGTTTAGAAAGATGAAAAAAAAGAAAATTATAAATCAAACGCTTAAACATTTTAGAAACAACGAGAAAAACAGAAATAGGACGATAATTAGCATTATCGGCAAGAGCGCCTTTTTTGTAAATAGAAACAATATATGCAATTACTAGAAAAAAGATACAGATGAAAGATAAAATGCTAGAACTGTACCACAATGATTTAATTGCTTTTCGAAATCTGATACATTTTCTTTAGTAGCAATAATCCGCCACATCGATGATATATTTTATCCATGTGCTGATCTGTCATTAGATCGTCCTAGTGTTTAACCTTACCGTTTCGCTCGAGATACGTCAGGCAGAAAAATTAGCAGC